ATGAACAGGGCAATGGAACGTTAATAATTGATCAAACGGCACAGCTTCCGATCAGACCAGACACACGTGGGAACACTTCCTAGTTGTAGTAAGCAATGAGGATCGAACGCACCCATCACCAATTGCTGAAGTTCCTCATTTTGTGATACACAGCCATTCGCTCCCCCCACCCCTCCTCCTCACCGGCTCCACCTCGTGTGATGAAACTCAGACGGTACGGTACAAGCGCGGTCAAAACTTCGCCTCTTCGATCTGTATCAAAATGATTTAATCGTGCAAAAAATGAAAGAAACTGGATAAAAAGGAATGTAAAACAAAACGAAGCGTTTTTAAACCACGAGAACAACTAAATAAAGTGCAAAAGAAAGAATTTAATGTAAGTCATAAATGGACAGGCCGGTTGTGTTTCTCAGTCATCCTCAGAAAAGTGAGGCTATACAATTTTTATAACCCACCTGCTGGTAAAAACGGTAAAGAGAAGACAGACATTCATCATTACTGCGGAATAATGGTAACACAAAAGTTCATTCTAACACCAGATTATTATAGGATAGCTTCGCCGGGAAATATTGTTATCATCACTCTTGTCTGGAGTATTACATATTTTGAAAATTTCCTCTCAAAAGTATAAGCTATTAATGATCTCATAGCAAACGATGATATGACTCCTCTAAACGAATGAACCGGTAAGTGTATGAGAGAAGACGAGTCTAAACTGAAGGTCCTTTGTCCTAATTCCTGTGCGTTTTCCTGCATTTTCGCAGAACTTGATTGAATCTCTTCAATCATTTTGAGATTGGACGAGAGCTTTCCCTCATTCAATAGGTGGATCATATGAATTCTCGCGCATTCCCCGTTTGCCCAGCAGCGTGTTCAGGATAGCCCACGAGAGTTAAAGAAATCACGTGTAACTCCGATCTCTCGATTTAACTTTCTTAGACTAAGCTTTGATGATTTCCTTCATCACTTCGTTCAAAGCGACTTCATTTTTCCTTGCCGAGGTTGTAAGCCGAGCATTTTCTCTCGAACTTCATCTCATTGCTTAAATACTTTCTTGAAATAAACATTGCGAAATGTAATGTCGAATGATTAAAATATGACAGGTGGTGAATTTGATTCAAATTCTGAGCCGGTAGTTTATTTGTTGAAAAAAGACAAGGATGCTGGTTGTGTGACTAGTTGTAACCCATAAAGAAATGGAAAGAGTGCATTGTCTGTTGATCCAGTCACGACTGTGATTTTTAAAATGTTGTGGGTCGTAAGAGAGCTGCTAATTACATGAACTTATCTTTCTGATCGAGCCTCAGCAGCATTTCAACAAAACAATAGTAAAGGTCGCCTAGTTTTCTTTGACTGTCGAAAATAATTCTTTCTTTGCCTTTCAGCCGCAATTCGAGTGTTTTTTTTAAAGTGAAAGTTCTTGTGCCTTTTTTTAAAAAACTCTTGCAGCCTGCTGCAACGAATTAGCTCAGTAATCTTGTTTTAGGTATTGTTCGTTCGTTTTGTTAACTCGTTGTAGTGTGTTTTCAACCAACCAACCAACCAACAGGGGAGCCAAGCAACGTTTATTTGGTTACACTCGTTTTCCCGCGTTAACCACCAGTGTTTTCCCGCGCTTGCCACCCGCCGTAGCTGACATATTTGGTTCGAGGTCTAGTTGCTTCATTACGTTATTTGTATTTAGTGCGATAAGCTTTAGTTTGACGATAATAATCAGGAAACCGCTCTATAATTAAAAGCAAATTTATGTCGCATTCTGATTGGATCACGTAACGAGCTATTTAGAATGGCCTTACTACTAATACAATGCAATTGAAAGAGTAAAAATGTTGTGTGTTTTATTCAGAAAAATTATGTGTTCTATGCCACGAAAAACTAATATTCATTACTTTACTGTGTCGACTTTTACGTCAAAAGTCCCTCGAACATGACTATTAGCGTAGTCGTCAATTTGATATTGATTTTTGCACGAAATGTAAATTTAAATGCCTTTTAACATCACAGAATAAATTACGATACATCATATTATCATAGCCTTACACAGTGACTAGTCTTTTAACCGAAGCGATATTCTTACTGAGTTTAGAGCGAACAGATTTTAAACCTGCCTCTAAAAACTTCCTGAAAACGCTTCTGAAACCCATTCTTAAGTCCAGGGATAAAATTCATCATTGATTTCACCCTTGCTACCTGTGGGTGTCAGTAAAACTAAACCGGCCCCCGCTAATTCAGCATGTAACGTTAGCCTTTGACAATCAGCTGGTTAAACATGTGCCGGTTCTTGAGTTTCCTTTTGTTTCCACACCAGTTGTTAGACGGGTTTCCTATCTTTAATTTATTGGTTGTCGCCAGCTAGTGAATTCACAGTTTTTGTCAACACTATAAATGCCAGATGAATTTCGTTACCACCGTATTAAAAGCACTGATCACATCTGTGAAGGTTAGAAAAGTCTCAGAATCTGACTGAAACATTCATGCAAGTTATAACAGGTATGTTTCTCGTAATATTTCTAATTCATAAACTTGTACTAATCGCCCTCGCCTACAGTCCTCATTGTTCATCGTTTACAGGACAGAAAGTTTAATTCTCAGACTTTAAAATCTGTACACATCGCCGGAACACAAATATTTCTTCCAGGGATAAATCTGTTTATCAACCAGTTTCTTTTCATCGTTTACGTTATGAAAACGCAAATATAAATTGATAATATAATAAAACAGCGAACTTGGAATTCTGCAGCAATAATAAGACGACGTTACCAGTGGCACTAAAGATGTTAATATCGCTATTATCTCACAGCTTAAATACCAAATACGAGTTTCATTGGCTGCATTTTACAGTGATAGTTTAATAGTTCATTTTTATTTTAAATATTCACACAAAATAAAAGAACATCGATCGATGTCTGGTTTTAAGCGAGGATTAAGTCAAAGAGCAGATGTGCATCAATCAATCTGCCACGACCCTTCCCAATGAAGGGTAAACAAATTCACTTTTCAAATCGATCACGAAATCATGAAAAACCTATCCTTGCCGTTTTTGTGTTAAAATCTATTTACCAGGTTAGAAGAATACCGAAGAATATCTACATACAGGCTCTTTATGTTTCTTTGCTCGCAGCTTATCCCTGTTTTAAGAAGTCTTGCTTTTTTTTGGACACATTTAGCAGGTGATTTTATGGTCTGTACCCTCAGCAAATCAGCTGCCATATTTGAAGTTTGTAAAAATGGCATCATTAGCAGGTCACTGGCACACGTGGCGCGGGCTCAGGAAGCCAACACAGTGCATTGCTCACCCGTGTGCAATTCTGATTTGCTAATACCAGCAGGGCACGTGTGTGTGATTGATGACATCAGTTCCACTGGTTAAAAAGCTTCATACCTTACAAATTCGTTTTCGAAAGGCACTAACTGATGGTCAAGCACACTTCATAAAATATGGTGAATTTTATCTGATTTTTCTGTTTTGATTCGCCCACAGGTGTGTATTATCTGGAAATGCCATTTTAACTAATATTGGCTGTATCAGTGGACAATTTGTATACTTTCGAATGTTCAGATGATCAAAACTCCCGCTGACAACTTTTAGAGGTGAGCCGCGCAGTCATTATTTTACACAACAAGCTTGGGGACTCGAAAGCGTTTATTAAATTGTGTACAAAGGGAAATAAAGAAATAGCAATATTTTGAATCAACCTATATTTTTTTATTGTATGTTAACGGAGAGACACACTGACAAATTAATAGGCTTTCGTAAAATTTATTTACACATCTTGTCAAGATACAGTGCGATAGTAATCGCTTAATTAGTTTGATATCTTCATGTATTAAACAAACTGGCTTAACCTGGAGAATGCTCTCGTTGATAGTTTCATTTAAAGTTGGTATTCCTTAAGGATACTTCCAAACAAAGTTGCAACAAATGCTCTTATTTCGGTAACTGATTGAAATCACGTGTGATATATTATTGACAGCGCTAAGAAGTATCGATTTGAACTATATATTTGATCTGTGCCTCTCCAAACATTTTAACTGGATAGATTTTCGACCTATATTGAAGTATCTGTTCTCACTGATGACGTTTCTATTTGGTATGTGTTTTGTGTCATTGAAGGGACTTTTGTCGCGAATGAATTTCCTTTTATACGTTCGTTAACGTCGCAACGTATCTTTTCTTATTAAATTCAAACCAGTTACCTGCTACACCTGTCATACAAATAGAGTAACAGTGCATGGAAACAACGCGTACAGCCTGCGAACAAAATTTTATTTCTCCAGGGCAACTCTAATAATCAAAAGAAGATTAAGAATCATGTTGTACCTAATGTCAAAATTGTTTTTTTTTACTCTTAATTAGTAGTTTCATTTTGTACACATTGATTTTTTTTGCATATGGTGACATGTACCAAATAATTCTAGGTCAATTAACCCAACGAAGCTATTGTTTGACTGAGCTATTGTTCGATTTGGTACAAGTGGAAAATGACGTTGGACGTTGGAATTAGCGGTTGCAAGTCTTATATGGGGGACGATAAAACTTTTTTGACAAAACTGTCACGCACTGATCTTAACAGCATTGGTCGGTGACTGCTATACTTATCATAATCAGTAGTTTTACTATCACATGAAATATTAGATTGAATGGTAGGCGTGTGTGGATGGGGCGCTGAACGGGATCCGTTCTAATACATGAATTTTTGTAAAATCATTGTTTGGATCGCCGTGGGGTTAAGATGTATTTTTTAGGGGCAATATTAATTAATGACTGTTTCAATGTTGAATTTGTTTCTATTGCAGTGCCAACGAGTCGCTCTCAAAAATTCAAAAGTATGAATTACAAGGAGTTCGCCGAGTTTTTTAACCACTCGAGGGAGGCAACAGATCTTTTGGGTACCAGTTCCCTATTGAGAGATCAGACGATCGACCGCTTACAAACAAATGGTGGCTACAGGGGGCCTGGTGACAAAATGAGAAATGGAAACGAGGGTAAGGATTCTATTTGGTGCCTGCCCTTTTTTGTTTTGACTATTTAGACGGCTTTGAAACACACATCTTACTTGTCATCAATGATTGCTTAATTTTGTCGCGCTGAAAGCTAGATTTATATTTTCAAACTCCGTTAACTACAATATTAGCGACCAATTTGCGATGGAGAGGTTTAAAAAGCAAAGTAAGAACAGTACTACATCTGTTTATTTAATTTGTTGTTGTTGATTTCTTATCACAGTGAAATGCACGATTAAGGGTTCTCTGTTCAACGAAAATATCTGAATAGCTTTTAAGGGGACTAGAGGTGGATAATCTTGTTTTTGAAGACTGTATTGTGTTAAGAAAGCACAATCATTATTGGTAAACTAAGCTGTTCTTCAGTCCTAGTGCTTGACAACAGAGAACAGCCTGTAAGCTTGTGGGTTGATGCTGGTGACATTTCAAAATCGCCTTAGTAGGGAAGCAAGCTGCCGCATCATTGTGACACTATTTACACTATTTACACTGTTTACACTGAACGGATTGAAGTAATTAGAAAAAAACTTGACTCATTCTTCGTTCGAGAGAGGTCTAGCTTCGAGCCCGACATTTTATAGCGAGGACGTTGGTCTACAGTCATCCTTTTAGTGAGTGGTAAATTAGTCGCAAAACGTCGCAGTATAGCGACAACCATTTAGAGACAACGTACGGAGTTTTGCAAGGCTACATCATCAATATAGAATGTTTCTGGTCAGATTCAGAGATATCTCTGTCTCGAGGGTAACACCTCTCTCCTTTTCAGAGGCCTCTTTCGTGTTACTTTGACATTTCGGAGGCTGGGGTCCCCCACGCGCAGCCTTCTCCTTTTTCTGCCCTTCGCTCACCCCGCTGGGGAGCCTCTGTGAAGGAAAGAGAGGGGTAAAACCTGAAATCTGCATGCGTAACCTGGCTAGTCGGCCATCTAAGAAATATAAGTTTAGGATCAAGCCTTTTAGGGGCCATAACACATATCAGTATAAATCTACTAGCGTTCTATCACGAATGCCATTCGATGATTGGCTAGGCTACTCACTCTCTGTTCTGTTGTAGATAGTGAGTAGCCTAGCAGTGTGTGCTTGTTGACGAACTTGTGGCCGCTTCTTTGCGTCTTCGAGGTGTCTGTAAAGAGGATGCAGATAAAGTTTTGAACGACTAGTAGATTTACACTAAAACAATTAGATTATTCGCTATCCATTTCTATGTGTGATAGCTGACTCGGGCTGCGCCCTCGTCAACAACTATATATCACGCGATAGAAATCTCAAGCTCATAATCTTACTGTTTAGTAGCATTTTGTAAATTTGGTAACTGAATGTGGTGTTCACGTGTTACCGTGACTCGTTAGCACATATTTCTACACACAAAACCATTAAACTGCAGGCTAAGATGTATTACTAGCTATTGTGGTAACTACCTATCAACTTCGTGGAAACGTAACATCTCTAACGTTCCTTTTTTCAGATGTCATAGCGTTGCCGCCAACCACTCCTGGCACAAACGAAGCTTCTTATCACATGGACAATCAACGGAATGGACCCAACTCATGGATTGCCTGTTCAAAAACATTACACAGCTTGCTGGAGCAATACCTCAACGAAAACGGTACATTATCATCATTCAGGCAAGTATTCGAGAAAAACAGTTTGCAAGAGAAAAAACACGGAGACCACGGTGGGGAAGCCCAAGGTCACGTGACTTCTCACGAACCTCCTCCGCTTCTCCATCGCCCCACTAAGCGATCCTTGGAGCAAAGTCACGCGACT